AGACTGAGACTGAGAGAGAGCCATTGCCTGGACTGCAGAGTGCCACAGTCCGGCTGCAGTAAAATAACCCGGGGCGGGGGGGCGGGCGGTGACGAGGAACTTGTATAGATTGATACAGCAGAAGTGGGAGCCGTTTATTGTAGGACAGGAGTGGTATATTTACATTCCACACAGCTTATCTTAATTAACATAAAATAGATACAGCAGTCAACCAATAAGGAATCTCCACACTTAATGGCTCGCTGGTGTTACTTCACAAACTACTCCCTCTGGCAAAATGCCAGGCGCCATCCTGACTTGTTTACAGACTCTAACAGCAGAGGACTTTCCGTTGGTGGAGCTAATCTCCAAACCCCTTCCCTTGGGTTCTGAGATAACCCAAGGCTAGAATTCAATTCTCTATTTTTCTTAATCTAATATGAATATCTTTTAATTAATTAATTAATTTATTTTTGAGTGGGTATCTTATAGTAGCAGCCAAATACCATTGACTAAGGTACTGATGTGGCAAACATGCTCAGTACACAAACAAAAAGTTCAAAAACACAAAATGTGCTGAGATGCACCAAGCAAAAGAACAGCATTAGGAAAGATACTGGTGTTATAGTTACAATGTGCTCCTGTACCTCCATCAGAAGATCAGATGAAAAAAAAATAGTACAATTATGAGGGAAGCAAGACTATTGGAACTTCTCACCAGAGCAGAAGGGAGAAAAGTCATCATGCTGGCTCCAAGACAAAGGAGAGAACTAATTTTATTCATGTTAATGGGTGGTAGGGGAGGTCTAGAATGTAGGAAACTTTGTTGGCTTTAGATACATTTCACTTCAACCCCTTGGGAGGGGTAGTTAGCCTGTCATCCTTCATCCTGGTCAAATGTTATATCTCTTGTATTTCATATGGATTTGCATGCTATATAAACTATCTTTGCCCTGTGATAAGGATGAGTTGCTGTAGCTGTTTAGAGAACACATCGGTGGGGGTGGAAGGAAACACATATGTGAGTAACAAGCTAAGGACCTTGGGAATTTGCTATTTGAGTGACTCCTCAATAGTTTTTTTTCCTTTATTTGTCTTTGGAGAGTCCTGGCAGGGTATCCTGGTTTTCATGCTATGCCTGGCTTCTGAAGCCCAGAGATTGTTGGAGAGTTAGTGAGCAAGGGGGTAGGGAAAGGCACATAATCCTCTCAATAGCTAGCAAGGTGGGACCCACAGAAAAGCACATACCATGCTTTAACAGATAAGGAGCCCAGCAATGCATTTGCCCTTTCCTGGGGATGACAGGTGTCTCATTTCTGCCTGACAGTTGTTATTCTCTTAATCTTAAGGGGTGCTGATCTTTATGAGAATCCCTGACTGACTCACTGGGAATAGTTGTTTTGGAAAGAGTTGCCCACACAAGGAAGTTCTCAATATGAAAGCAATCTTATAATGAAAAAAGTTATCAAGTTAGAGACTACACATAACAAGATCTGGGTATGGGAACTAAGGATGAGGTAAAGCCTTTGTCACAGGAACAAGGAAGAAGTTGGTTATTAGAAGTCAGGCACAAGGTCACTGTGATCTATTGAACATGAGATCTATTGATGATTGGATTTATTTAAGCATTCAATAAGAATTTTAGATATTATTCATATATATTTATGAATACACACACACATACACACACACACACACACACACACTGTATTATCAGTTTGAGTTGGTGTTCAGGGTGCTATGAGGTGAGGCCAGCCTGGAGTGGACTTCCATGACAGCTGCTATGGAGAAGAGAAGGAGGGCTGCAGTTGGTTAGGGAATGGTAAGTCATGAAGTGGAATTCATAGTATATTGTTAGAATTTGGAACATTCTATGGCAAAACAGATCAGGAAGGAGCGGAAATTGAAAACCCAGAAAGGATCATGGTGGTTATTTATTTTGAGGGGCAAAAGAGAGGAGATAGGACATGAATGACTTATTCAGAAAGGGAAATAAGAAGGTGTCAAATATGTAGCTTGTCTATTTATTAGTTTTTTCCTAAGGCCCTTGTGACAGCTGATGTACCCATGAAAAACAGTACACCTGCCTCTTTTGACCAGATCATTTCATCACACTGATTTGCTTCACCTTAGTCAAAATTTAAAGTTAGGAGGAACCAGGCACCGTGATGCATGCCTGTAATCCCAGCTGTTTGGGAGATTGAGGCATGAGGATCTTGAGTTTAAAGCCAGCCTCAGCAAAAGCAAAACACTAAGCATTTCAGTGAGACCCTTTCTCTAAATAAAATACAAAATAAGGCTGAGGATGTGGCTCAGTGGCTGAGTGCCCCTGAGTTCAATCCCTGGTACCAAAAAAAAAAAAAAAAAATAAGTAGGAATTTGGAAGTTTGAATCTTTCCTATTTCAATTCAGTCTCACCAGAAAGGCAACAGCAGACTTTTAAAATATAGTTCAGCTCAATCTCTTCTGGTTTAACCTTGAACTCTGGCCTTCTTGGAAGAAGAGATATGGGTACTGGGGAACAAATCTGACTAAATTATATCATCATATTGTGTGCAAGTATGAATATGTATCAATGAATTCCACTAATGTGTATAATATGCCAATAAAAAGGGTCAAAAATTAAGAAAGAGAAAAATGCATATAGAGTATATGTAAGAAAAGTATAAATAAGAAAGAATATATATTAATAAAAGTATAAGAAAAGAGGAAAAGGAGATAGAAATAAAAATGAAAATTCGTAGGTGCCACATAATTTTTTGTTCACATTGGGGTAAAAGTAGGTTGAGCACCTAATCAACCTACTTCCCCCCCCATTGTCACTTACTATTTTGAATATCTTGTAATCAAAGATATTACTTTTTTATGTAGACTCAGAAACTTTTCCCTGATGTCTTAGTCTGTTTTCTACTGCTATAGCAAAATACCTGAGAATGGGTAACATAAATGGAAGTTTATTTAGCTCATAGTTTCAGAGGCTGAGAAGTCCAAGAGCATGGTGCTAACATTTGCTCAGCATTTGATGAGGATCTTCATGCTGCATCCTAACATGGTGGAGAGCATTACATAACAAGACAGAGCAAGTGTAGCTTGGATCTCTCTTCCCCTTCATATAAAGTTGCAATCACAGGGTCCTCAAGTTCATGATCTTATTAAATCCTAGTTATCTCCCAAAGGGCCCACTTCCAAATACCTCTAACAAACCTGACTTTGGGAATTAAATTTCTGCATGAATTCTGGGGAACTCATGGAACCATAGCACCTGGGGAGCGTCAAGGACTTCCTATACAGCATGTTAATTAATCTTAACAAAACTTACCAAAAACAAACTTAACAATGACAAAATTGCAGGCATATTATTGACTTCACTTTCCTTTTCTCTTAATCTTATTTCTTATGCTGTTGTTCATGGTATTAAATATAGAGTAATAGTTGTGAGGATGAGTGAGAGATTTCTCCTGGATTGACTGGCCTGAAGGGAAGTAAGTAATTTTATCTCCTTTAAATTTCTACATCCTCATCTGTAAAATGAGATGATAACACATATTCTAATTATCTTACTGGTGATTTTAAAAGCCATGTACAAAAACCACTGCAAATGGTACAGAACAAAGTGGAAGATAGCCGGTCCTTTAAGTCAGAAAATAGAGCAGAGAACCTATACCAGAACCCAGTCAGCTCTCCTTATTGGTTCTTGAACATTTCACTTGAGTTCTAAGTCTTGATTTCTTCACTTGTTATATTATTCCCTGTCTCATCTGGTTTTTATGAAGATTAAAATAAAACATTTATACTAAAATATAAATAATATGTTACTCCTCAATATTTATCCAGAAGAACTAAAATCATCATACTATAGCAATACAGCCATATCAATGTTTATAGTAACACAATTCACAATAGCCAAGTTACGGAGCTTGTCGGCAGATGAATTGATAAAGAAAATGTGATATATATACACAATGGAGTTTTACTCAGTCACAAAGAAGAATAAAAAATAATGGCATTTACTGGTAAATGGACAGAACTGGAGAGCAACATGCTAAGTGAAATAAGCCAGATTCAGAAAGTCAAGGGTCATATATTTTTTTCAGATGCAGAAGCTAGAGAAAAATGAGAGGGAAAAAAGTGGTAGGTTCCTATGAAAATAGAAGAGAGATCAATAAAATAGAGGAAGGGGATTAAGAAGTAGGAAGAAAGAATAGGAAAATGGAGGAATGATGGAATTAAATTGACCAAACTATCCTATGTACATATATGAATCTACCACAGTGAATTTCATCTTTATGTATATTCATAATTTCCTAATTAAAAAAAAAACTATAAATAGGTAGAAGGATAACCAGTAGAATAAAGGGAATAGGGGGAGGAAATGAAGAGGGAAAAAGGAATTACTAGGGACCAAGTTGGAATAAATTATATTTTGTGCTTATATGATTATATCTAAATGAACCCTACTAGTGTATATAGATAGAATGTACTAATGAAAAAGAATATAGTAATCATTACAATTCTTAATAATGTATCAGATGAGAACAATCTTAAGGCAAAACATGTGAATTGGTTTTTTTTATTATAAAAGTATTACTGTGATTTCTAATTAGTATGTTTATACCGGATTTTTAAGCTTTTGCAAAAAGAATCTATTTGAATTCTACAGAAGACTTATATTTAAACAAGACACAGTCACTTATAAATCATAAAACTCAGTCACACACCAAAAATAACTGAGTACTTTAAAGATCCTTTCTATATTTCATTTTTAATGAAGGCTTTTAGAAAACAAAATCGTTATAGTCTATTTTTATTCATAATTTATCATTTTAATACTCCCTTGAATTGAGAGAAATGTGATTTTTATATATAGTGACAAAGTTATAATGGAAGATATAAACACAAATGTGTCTCAGTTTTACATCAAGATTGTTACAAAAGGAGTGAATGGCTTTTTGCATTTTTAAAAAAAACACACTTATACTGGTTTAATTCTAATATCCTTTAATCTTTTATTTCTTTGCAAGATAATAGTTGGAGAAACTGCTGTGTTTTGCCTACAACTAGCCACAAGGGATTTTGAAAACCAGGAGAAAACAATTTTAACTGGAGACTGTTGCTATATAAACCCACTGGTGCGCCGAACTGTCCGATTTCTTGGTATGTGTTCACTGCATTGTTTTTATTCTTGCCAAAACATTGTTGATGTATAAGCTAATTTTAAAAAAGACCCATGTCTTAACTGTATAAAAATATTAGGTTTTTTTCTTGTGAAATATTTCAATTTGGTTTTATAAATGAACATCACATTCTATGTTCTCTCTAATGTTCCAAGACCCCTCTTCTGGGTACCATTTGCACATGAAGGAAGAAAAGAACAACACTTGGATATTGGATATTTTTAAAGAAACTATCAGTTATATAATTAAATGATTTATAGTGTTTATAAAATATCAGAAAGTGACTGTGGAGAAATGATATGGAGGTAGATTGTTCAACATCATAAATGTAAAGACTGGCAACCTGGCAATTTCAAGAAATACTGCATTTCACAAGAAGTATTTCAGGCTCAAATTCTGAACTATTTATATATATAACTATATTATATTTTATATTGGTGATCTTATTGGAGGACAAGACTCATTGATGTTTAACTTTCCGTCTCAAATGCTAGCTCTAATAAATACGAACATTCACTGAAGAATTACTGAACATTATTTCAATTCAATAAAAACTTGGCCAAGATCAATTCTTTAACTGACACCATAAAATTTAATATAAATTATTACTTTCTGGATTAATCATATAAAATTGAGAATATATAGATATGCTATATATTTTACGATAAATTCTGAACAGTATTAAGAGGTACGCTGAGGATAGTATAACACTTAAGTATTTATTAACCTCTCGTGGAGGGGATTGAGATGAAAACTTTGGAGACCTAAGATTAGATGACCTAATCTATATATAAACTCATTAGAGATGAACCAAATGCCATCATTGCAATAGATCTCTCTGAAGACAAAAGGTCTTCATATCCAAAGCTGTTCTTTTAATAACCATCATACTATGTATCTCTACAGTCCTCATTTATCCTGGTGAAGAATAACTTTTTTATGAAAACTAAAAAGGTATTTTCACATGCATTAATACTGTCTTCTTAACTCATGTCTCTTTGTACAAGAAACACTTAGTAATAAAATAAATAAGCAATAATATATGAAAAATGAAAGTATTTGATGAAATTGATGCTTTCCTAAATACTGTTAAGAAAATTATAATGTGCCTACTTAACCAAATCACATTTGTGCATTTAAATACATGTTTCTCAAGAATTTGTGGCACAAAGTATGCTTTAGAGTCTCTGTAAAACATAGGAGAGCTTCATTTGTTTCTTGTTCCCTAATCATGATACCTGTGTTTCCGGTTTATTTTAATGAAGTGAAAGTTTGTAACCAAGCATCACTGCATAAAAGGACCTCAGTTTGTGTAGTGACTTTATCCTTGAGGTCAAATCCCTCATGGGATCCTACTTTTAATAATTATCTGTGTAGTCAACTACAACATTGGCCTTGGGCGTGATACACTGATATTTCTGAAGGACATTTGGAAACTTCACAAGTATCAAGAGACTTTTCCATATGCTTATCAAATATTTCTATTTTAAACAGGAAGACTTGTTAAACTAGATAAAAAGAATGATTTAGTCAAATAAAATGAGTACACCTTAGCCTAGATTTCAAAGGAGTACGGATGAAGAGAGATTGTAATTTAGACTCCTGTGCTTGGCCCTGAGGTTTTGGAAGGAGAGATTGTGTACATTAGTATCTTATGGAGCTCAGTTCTCTTATTTCTCTGCCTCTCAAAATTCTGCTTTTCATAGCCTTTCCTTTTTGAGATTCATGGAATGCTGATGAAATATAAAGAAAGGTATTCTTATTGTTTCCTTTCAGAAGTTCAGGATAAAAGGAAAACTAATGTCTTTGTGTCATTGACATTTGGATACACATACGAGATTTGCTATGTGCAGATTTTTGTGCATAAATTTTTATGCATAAGTCTTACATAATGTAAAAATTAAAAGGACCCAGCCATGTACCAAATACTGGAAAATTATTTGATCCTGCACAACTTTCATGATTTCCCACATGACAGTTAGTAATGATTAAAAGGTTTTGGAAATAAACAATCCAGAAATATGTGACTAAGAAGAAAAGCATCTAAATTTTATAATAAAATCAGATGACTTTGTAATGAGCTAACTGTTTTAGGAAGAATTTTGTCAAGTTTTAAGACGTTCTCATGGATTTTATTTCCAAAATTATGAAAGAATGAATTACATCAGCATCACACCTTGAAAGTTTCATCTACGTTTAATTGAAATCATTGGCAAAGAATTTATCTTGCCTAAGTAGAAAAATAAGTTTTGACAATAATGACAAATGACATTGAATTTAGAAAATGTTTTTGGTATTCAAGTAAATTGGCAAGTTCTTATAACAGAAGGGGGAAAAAAAATCTATGCACTTAATTTTATACCTCCAGGTGACCAGAGTAAATAAATTTTAATACTGTAAAGATAATTGACAAATCATTATATTGATTTTTTTATTATTTACTAAATAGCCCCACATTTGATAAGTAGAAAGCCAATCCATAGAAGATAAGCTGTTCTGTACCTTTTAAAGTGTTTCTGAAGGCAATGCAAAGCTTCATCTGAAAGCATTCTGCTTTATTTAAGATTTTCCATGATATTTAAATGAAAACTGATGGCTTTGGATTTTACTGCTAATTGGCACCTCCAGCAGAGTTAATATCAGTCTGAATGGGCTGAAGAGACATAATCAAGGAAGACAACTGCTTTGCTTTATGTTAGTGAGATAAAAAAATGTTTTCAAAAGCAGGGAAAATATAAAGATTGGTAACATTAGTAAAACATGATAGACTATACCCTCTCAAGATATACGTGGCTCCATTTAAAACTAGCATTACTCAAACAGTCTTAGAATATATTTTCTTCTTTTGTATCTTATAAACCTGTGAGGCATCAAAATGTAGCCAGTGGTAGACAGCTCAATATGTTAAATAATTTAATACTTCCCACTAGTCCAGAAAGCCAAGGAAAAAACTAGGGAGGAGTGAAGTAAATAGAACCCGGTGTATGTATATATGGAGAATTTTACTGTTCCTAAGATATTTTATCTTGGTTTAATGTAAATTGAGGTACAATAACAACAGCAAAAAAAAAAAAAAGAGCTAAAATTGTTTGTTTTCTTCCTCAGGAATTTATACCTTTGGATTATTTGCTACAGATATCTTTGTAAATGCTGGACAAGTGGTTACGGGAAATCTGGCTCCACATTTTCTTGCCCTATGTAAGCCCAACTACACAGCACTTGGATGCCAGCAGTACACACAGTTCATCAGTGGGGAAGAAGCTTGCACTGGCAACCCGGATCTCATCATGAGAGCAAGGAAAACATTCCCATCCAAAGAAGCAGCTCTCAGTGTCTATGCAGCCATGTATCTGACAGTAAGTAAGGATTAAAAACCTGTTTTAGTGTGTATTTCTGTTCATCCTTCCAATGCACAAATTCTTTTCCTTGCCATAACAAAAGTCACTTAAAGACATTAGTAGCTTTCTATTGGCCATTCGATTCATTTCTAATAATTGCTGTTTACACGGTGGATAAAATTAAAAGTCGGTTGACTCTCATGAGGCTGTGTGTGGGTAATTGGTTGTATTAAAAAATATAGCCAGTAGCATTTCTATTTGTGCATATATTTGTCTTTGTGTTAAATAGGACTTAATGGAAACAAATTTGCTCTGTAGCACTTGCCATGAACTTGTAACAGTGCAATTAAGAGAACTGTCTAGGCTCTTCACTGCCTACTCAAGCTCTCAAATTCCTTGGTTGGGTGAAGAAGGGATGCTCTTTTTTTTTAAGAAAGCTCTTTTGTTGTTGGTAATTACTTCATCATAGTATCACAATCTGTGTTTTAGTATTTCCTTATAGCACTAACAAAAATATTTTTAGAAATTATGTTTCTCCTTTATTTTTGAGAATTTGCATCATTTTTGTGGTAAGAGCCAAGCCCAAGTGCAGCCATCTTAGGAACTTGAAGCAAAAATAAGTGGTCACAGCTGAGTGTGTTATCGATAGGCAAGATAAGGAAGCAGGAGCATCTTGACCCCCAATATTCTTGTCATCTGCCTGTGCCTCTAGCAGCAGGATGTTCCATGCATCTTGCTGTTGGACACCAAGGAGTTCTCCAGAGGATTTTCCATGAACTCCAAAAAGAAGTTAAGAGAATTGAAGTGCCTTCTGGTGTTCTTCCCAATGGTGCCATTATCTACTTCCTTCTGCTTTCAGCTTATTAACAAGAGGTTTGTTAAGACTCAGGCACAATTTGAAACCAAATTTGATTATTTCTAATGATTTGGAAAAATTTAGGATTATTTTTAACCTCCAAGAGCTGTTTGATGATGGAGATGTTTCTAATGCAATCAAGTCGGCTACCACTAAAACAGAGAGAATCTCTAGCAGTGCCTGTAACATTTCTTGTAGAGATGGAAACAAATAAACAAATGTTGCAAAGCAGAAAGACATTTTAAAGGGGGGGATAAATCATGGAACATAACATTTACAATGGCAAGATAATGTTAGAGGCCATAGAGGATGTATTTTAACATTTTAAGGTTTTTAAGCCAAGTTAATTCTGTCCTTCACTTCCTGGATTTTTAGAGGTGGTGGGGGGGATAGAGTTGTGGAGATCCACTTCTTCTAGTGCTTACTAACTTGTAAAGTTTGTCTCTCACAATTCCTCTTTTGCCTTCTCACTTCACTCTCTGGATCTAATTGCTGTTATTGCTCTTGATTTCTCTCACCTCTAAGCTCAGCCTTCTTCTCATGGTATAAGGTGACTCTGGTTCAATGTGAAATATGCTAACCCATGTACATTCTTTACTATTCACAAAGTTACTTAACTTCATGTTCTACCCCTGCTAGAATATAAAACACCCTGCCTTAAAATGAAGGTTTAAAAAGAAGCAAATCAGAAGTCACAAAATGCTTTTCCCTCATTGCCATCACATTTAAATCCCATGTTTATATTTGTGTTTGTGCATGAATTGCAAATATATCTCTGCTTATAAATATGTGATCAAGCCAATAATAGAAGACAATTCCAGAATGCTCTTTGACTCCAATTATTGTTGCATGAATATTTCAGCATTAGTAGAAATTAGATGTTACTGTGTAAACCAGCATTCACCATTGGTGGTTAAAATGTAACAAGAACAAAATACTTGGTCTTTTTAGTTCATCAAAATAGTATTTAAAATATGTGATTGTGGGAGAAGACATTATCCTCCTATGTACTGGAAGAATCTTAATATTTTATCTTGCTCATTTCTGCTGCCCACCTGCAAGCATTTGTTTTAACAACTTATGCATTATAAAACATACTGTTCTAGTCTGTAAGAAAGTCTGTAAGAAAGACTTGGAGGTATTCATTGTAATGGTTAACTATAATTATTATAGCAGACATTTATTGAGCATTTACTATGTGTCCAGCATTAATTGCTTCACTCTTACTTTCATACTTTACTAATTCTTACATATTATTAACTTTTAAATTTTATTATTTGTCACTGTTACTTAATAATTATTTATGCTAACTTATTGAATCCACATAAAACTTTCTTGAAACATGTATTTTTATTACACTTATTTTATAGATGAATATATAACCACAAATTTTCTTGTGACAATGATTCTGAATGCTCCAGATAGGAAACATTAAATCAAGCTAGTCCTAATGTGTGCATGATTAACTAAGTTCCCTCCTCCTCCTGTACAATCCCAGCATCAGCAAAGTTTAAAGATGAAGGTGCAAATCAGATGAGTTTAAAGAATAATCATTGAATAAACACTCCAGCACTCGGAAACCTTCTGTCTTTAGGTGTGGTTCAGATTGAAAGTTAGGATCCCTGCCTGTCATTACATTCATGGGTTCCTCTGTCTTGAACAATAGATTCTGTTCTCTTCTGTTTTTCTCTCTTCCCTACCGTGTGTGTGTGTGTGTGTGTGTGTGTGTGTGTGTGTGTGCGCATGTGGGGGGGGAGTGGGTAGGTGGCTGGCTGCTATGGCAACTCTGATTGTAACTCCTGCTGCAAATGTAGGCTTTGTAGTCAGGTTTTGCCATTATATTTGAACTTATACACAAATGTATTTCTTCCAACATTTAGTAGAAATATGTTGGGAAAACTTCATAACAGAAATGTTGAGTGCTTCAAACTAATGTAGTTTCATGAAATAAATTTGCTAGAATTTCGATGGGCAAGTCTATAGGAGAAAATAGCCATGTGGTCAGTATTCTTTGTGGAGATGGTCTTATGACTGTATTTGATATATATTAAGTGCTGATGAAAAGCATATATAAACAGAAATAAAAATAAATGAAACCTATGAAGATGCATTTGAATAAGAGTTGAAGAATATTGTCTGGTGCTTCTGTATATGGATTACTAAATAAAATAAAGGAATTTGAACTCTCCCTTAGCATCTGACTTTAATTAAGGCTTTGAGGATAATTTGATTGCAGAGCTTTCTTTTGCTTTCCTGAGAACTTGCAGGAAAATAAATCCCTATTCTTATTTTTACAAATACTCTTGTTTTCCCAGGGGGGAAAAAAACCCTGAAGATTATTTAACCTTCAACTATCAAATTTATAATTCAATGTTAAATTACATTAGAATATTTAAAGTTAACTTTATGATATTTCTTTTCATATGAAATGAGTAATGTGTTTTCTAATTAAGAGCAAGTGAATTTCAAAATTGAGAACAAAATAACCCTGTTTGGTGGCTTTCCAGTTGACCCCCTGAATCACTAAGATTGAAAGACATAAAACCATCTCTTGGGTCACTTCCAACTCTGGCATTAGATTTTTTTTTAATATTAAAAGAAAGAGAGTCAGCTACATTTGCTGGCCTCTTTCCATTCTATGTCACTTCATTACCAATTGTCCTAAACCTCAATCCATTCTATGTCACTTCATTACCAATTGTCCTAAACCTCAAAAAATGGTCTCCTTTCCTCAAGATTTTTTGGACAGACAGAATACAGTAATGGTGCTATTGCAGTTTTCCTGGTGGTCTATCTTGGTTTCTCTCCTTGGTCATTTGGCTGGAGTCCGGGTTCAGGCGGGGCAGCTGGAACAGCTGAGTTTCTCCATTCCTGGGAGGTCTTTCTTGCAAGTTGTTTTCCCTGATGGTCTCTCAGAGCTTCCTTCGAACAGGGCAAAGGCCCAAGATGTAAGATGTCTTGAGAGTTAGGCTCCTAAACTTCCTGAACAGCACCACTACTCTATTCTGTCTATCCAAATCAATCTCAAGACTACCCAAACTGTTTTGGGTACAGACAGAGAATCCACCTCCAGCCATGACTGATTGTAAAGAGATGAATATGCTGAAAGGGGAAGAGTTTATAGACATTAAACAATTTATTTCAGTGTTTTCTAGAATAACAGTGGGGAGCTAAAACATCATTTCTCTCTGTCCTCCTAGTCACTGGTAACTACTCATTAGCATCACCTTACCTTTATTTCCCACCTGGTCATCTTGTACAATAAGCTCTCAGGGTCCCCTGTGCAACAACCACTGCTTACAGGCTGCTGAGTCAAGTGGTAAAATCAGTACAACCAGCCTGGAGTCAGCTTACCCTTTTCTGTTAGTGATTTTTCCACTTAATTTTGTATAGGAGCATGAATGGCACAGATTCTGGGGCATAGGAATTTGGGGAATGCATGCCAGTTTTCTTGTAGCAATTCATTTCATGAGACTGGTTGGGGATTGTGTTTGGAGGAGAAGGATGGGTTGGTAAAAAGATACACTCTGGTTTACCTTTATGTGTTTGTCTTCCATGACTAGTGAGACCCAGCGGTTATCACAGAACCAAACTCTAAGGTTTTCCCACTTAGGAGCAATTCAATACTAAAGTGTATTTCAAATGAGAAAATTTGATTAAGTGTCTAGTAGGTGATCTATCAAAAATATTTATTGCAGGTTTACTCACAATGTGACTACTGTACTATTAATGGAACTACTGGTGCTGATACCACTATTATTAGTCAATGAACATCTCTCATGTCAATCTTTAGCTCAGTGATATTGTTGGAAGTACAAAAAAGACATCTATGAAGTACCCACTGGTTCCAAATATATTCACTATCATGTACCCCTTTTATTATTCACCCTCCCTTGCTTCACATTCTTCCATGAACTCTTATGTTTTAAAATCCTCTATCAAATACATTAGATTCCTACACCAACTTAGGCCTAGATATTATACAGTGACCCATAATAATAAAAATATAATAAGGCTGTTTTGAAATAGTGCACATAGAATTATTAAAATTGTAGAGATAGTAATTGACAGTTAAGTGTATAATTAAAGACATATGGATACTCTGCATCTCTAATTTTACCAGACTTCCATAAATGACACTTGTATTTGGCAATTCTGTGAT